TCCTTTGTTTTGCTTTGTTTTTATCTTCCTTTTTTTTTTGCAGTACGCAAGCATGTGGGATCTTCCTGGACCGGGGCACGAACCCATATCCCCTGCATTGGCAGGCAGACTCTCAATCACTGCGCCACCAGGGAAGCCCTTTATCTTCTTTTTAACTATATTTTATATTTTTCAATTTTTACTTTACTTTTTTGTTGTTTTGTATTTTTTCCTTTTGTTTTCACCTTTCTTATGTTTTTATGTTTTTTTATCTCTTTTGTGTGTTTTATGCTTTCTTTGCCTTTTTTTAGATTGCTTTCTGCTTTTGATTGGTTTTTTGTCTTGCTTTTACCATTCAACTTGGGGTTTTGTTTGTCTGTTCTTTTTTTTTTTTTTTTCTTTTCTTCCACACCATGTGGCTTGCAGGGTCTTGATGCTCCAGCCAGGTGTTGGGCCTGAGCCTCTGAGGTGGGAGAGCTGAGTCCAGGATGTTGGACCACCAGAGAACTCCTGACCCCAGGGAATATTAATCAGCGAGAGTTCTCCCAGAGGTCTCCATCTCAACAGTAAGACCCAGCTCCTCCCAAGGGCCAGCAAGCTCCAGTGCTGGATGCCTCACAACAAACAACTAGCAAGACAGGAATGCAACCCCACCCATTAGTCTAAACCCCAGCCTTTAGTCAGACAGGCTGACTAAAGTCATACTACGCTCACAGACACCCCAAAACACACCACTGGAGGCGGCCCTGCCCACCAGAGGAACAAGATCCAGCTCCACCCACCAGAATGCAGGCACCAGTCCCCTCACCAGGAAGCCTACACAAGGCACTGGACCAACCCCACCCACTGGGGGCAGACGCCAGAAGTAAGAGGAACTATGACCCTGCAGCCTGCAGAAAGGAGACCCCAAACACAGTAAGTTAAACAAAATGAGAACACAGAGAAATATGCTGCAGATGAAGGAGCAAGGTAAAAACCCACAAGACCAAACAAAATGAAGAGGAAATAGGCAGTCTACCTGAAAAAGAATTCAGAGTAATGATAGTAAAGATGATCCAAAATCTTGGCAATAGAATGGAGAGAATACAAGAAATGTTTAACAAGGACCTAGAAGAACTAAAGAGCAAACAAACAGCGATGAACAACACAATAGCTGAAATTAAAAATACTCTAGAAGGAATCAATAGAATAACTGAGGCAGAAGAATGGAGAAGTGAAGATAGAATGGTGGAAATAACTGCTGCAGAGCAGAATAAACAAAAAAGAATGAAAAGAACTGAGGACAGTCTCAGAGACCACTGGGACAACATTAAACGCACCAACATTCGAATTATAGGGGTCCCAGAAGAAGAAGAGAAAGAGAAAGGGCCTGAGAAAACATTTGAAGAGATTATAGTTGAAAACTTCCCTAATATGGGAAAGGAAATAGTCAATCAAGTCCAGGAAGCACAGAGAGTCCCATACAAGATAAACCCAAAGAGAAACACACCAAGACACATATTAATCAAACTATCAAAAATTAAATACAAAGAAAAAATATTAGCGACTTCCCTTGTGGTCCAGTGGTAAAGAATCTGCCTTACAATGCAGGGGACGTGGGTTCGATCCTTGGTCATGGAACTAAGATCCCACATGCCGCAAGGCAACTAAGCCCATGTGCCACAACTACTGAGCTCACATGCCTCAACTAGAGCCCATGTGCCACAAATTACAAAGCCCGTGTGCTCTGGAACCTGCATGCCACAACTACAGAGCCCATGCACCCTGGAGCCTGTGCACTACAGCTAGAGAGAGAAAATGCACACACCACAACTACACAGAAGCCCGCACACCACAACGAGAGTCTGCATGCTGCAATGAAAGATTCTGCATGCCTCAATGAAGATCCTGTGTGCCAAAACTAAGAGCCAACACAGCCAAAAATAAAAATAAATAAATAAATAATAAGTCTTTAAAAAAAAAGAAAAAATATTAAAAGCAGCAAGGGAAGAGCAACAAATAACATACAAGGGAATCCCCGTAAGGTTATGAGCTGATTTTTCAGCAGAAACTCCACAGGCAACAGGGGAGGGCCCAATATATTTAAAGTGATGAAAGGGAAAAAGCTACAGCCAAGATTACTCTACCCAGCAAGGATCTCATTCAGAATTGATGGAAAAATCAAAAGATTTACAGACAAGCAAAATGTAAGAGAATTTAGTACAACAAAACCAGCTCTACAACAAATACCAAAGGAACTTCTCTACGCGGGAAACACGAGAAGAAAAAGACCTACAAAAACAAACTCAAAACAATTAAGAAAATGGTAATAGGGACATACATATTCATAATTACCTTAACTGTGAATGGATTAAATGTTCCAACCAAAAGACACAGGCTCACTGAATGGATACAAAAACAAGACCTGTATATATGCTGTCTACAAGAGACCCACTTCAGACTTAGGACACATACAGACTGAAAGTGAAGTGATAGAAAAAGATATTCCATGCAAATGGAAATCAAAAGAAAGCTGGGGTAGCAATACTCATAACAGATAAAATAGACTTTAAAATAAAGAATGTTACAAGACACAAAGAAGGAAACTACATAGTGATCAAGGGATCAATCCAGGAAGAAGATATAACAATTATAAATATATATGCACCCAAGATAGGAGCACCTCAATACATAAGGCAAATGCTAACAGCTATAAAAAGGGGAAATCAACAGTAACACAATAAAGGTGGGGGACTTTAACACCTCACTTAACAGATCATCCAGACAGAAAATAAATAAGGAAACACAAGCTTTAAATGACAAAATAGACCAGATAGATTTAATTGATATTTACAGGACATTCCATCCGAAAACAGCAGATTACACTTTCTTCTCAAGTGCACATGGAACATTCTCCAGGATAGATCATATCTTGGGTCACAAATCAAGCCTTGGTAAATTTAAGAAAATTGAAATCATATCAAGCATCTTTTCCAATCACAATGCTATGAAATTAGAAATCAATTAGAGGAAAAAACCTGTAAAAAAACACAAACACATGGAGGCTAAACAATATGCTACTAAATAACCAAGAGATCAATAAAGAAATCAAAGAGGAAATTTAAAAATACCTAGAGATAAATGACAAAAAAACACGACGGCCCAAAACCTATGGGATGCAGCAAAAGCAGTTCTAAGAGGGAACTTTATAGCAATACAATCCTACCTCAAGAAACAAGAAAAATCTCAAATAAACAATCTAACCTTACACCTAAAGGAACTAGAGAAAGAAGAAGAACAACAACAAAAAAACCACAAAGTTAGTAGAAGGAAAGAAATTATAAAGATCAGGGCAGAAACAAATGAAATAGAAACAAAGAAAGCAATAGCAAAGATCAATAAAACTAAAATCTTGTTCTTTGAGAAGATATACAAAATTGATAAACCTTTAGCCAGTCTCATCAAGAAAACGAGGGAGAGAACTCAAATCAATAAAATTACAAATGAAAAAGAAGTCACAACAGACACCGCAGAAATAAAAAGTATCCTAGGGGACTACTACAAGCAACTCTATGCCAATAAAGTGGACAACCTGGAAGAAATGGACAAATTCTTAGAAAGGTATAACCTTCCAAGACTGAACCAGGTAGAAATAGAAAATATAAACAGACCAGTCACAAGTAATGGAATTGAAACTGTGATTAAAAATCTTCCAACAAACAAAAGTCCAGGACCAGATGGCTTCACAGGTGAACTCTATCAAACATTTAGAGAAGAGCTAACACCCATCCTTCTCAAACTCTTCCAAAAAACTGCAGAGGAAGGAACATTCCAAAACTTATTCTACAAGGCCACCATCACCCTGATGCCAAAACCAGACAAAGATATCACAAAAAAAGAAAATTACAGACCAACATCACTGATGAATGTAGATGCAAAAATCCTCAACAAAATACTAGCAAACAGAATCCAACAGCACATTTAAAGGATCATACACCATGATCAAGTGGGACTGATCCCAGGGATGCAAGGATTCTTCAATATACACAAATCAATCAATGTGATACACCATATTAACAAACTGAAGAAGAAACACCATATGATCATCTCAATAGATGCAGAAAAAGCTTTTGAGAAAATTCAACACCCATTTATGCTTAAAAGAACTCTCCAGAAAGTGGGCACAGGGGGAACCTACCTCAGCATAATGAAGGCCATATATGACAAACCCACAGCAAACATTTTTCTCAATGGTGAAAAACTGAAAGCATTTCCTCTAAGATCAGGAACAAGACAAGGATGTCCAGTCTCACCACTATTTTTTTAGTTTGTTTGTTTTTGTTTTGGGGTTTTTTTTGTGGTACGCGGGCCTCTCACTGTTGTGGCCTCTCCCGTTGCGGAGCACAGGCTCCGGACGCGCAGGCTCAGCGGCCATGGCTCACGGGCACAGCCGCTCCATGGCATGTGGGATCTTCCCGGACCGGGGCACGAACCCGTGTCCCCTGCATTGGCAGGCGGACTCTCAACCACTGCGCCACCAGGGAAGCCCTCACCACTATTATTGAACATAGTTTTGGAAGTCCTAGCCATGGCAATCAGAGAAGAAAAGGAAATAAAAGGAATAAAAATTGGAAAAGAAGAAGTAAAACTGTCACTGTTTGCAGATGACATGATACCATACATAGAGAATCCTAAAGATGCCACCAGAAAACTACTAGAGCTAATCAATGAATCTGGTAAAGTTGCAGGATACAAAATTAATGCACAGAAATCTCTTGCATTCCTATATACTAATGATGAAAAATCTGAAAGAGAAATTTAGAAAACATTCCCATTTACCATTGCAACAAAAAGAATAAAATACCTAGGAATAAACCTACCTAAGGAGGTAAAAAACCTGTACTCAGAAAACTACAGGGTACTGATGAAAGAAATCAAAGATGACACAAACAGATGGAGAGATATACCATGTTCTTTGATTGGAAGATCAATATTGCGAAAATGACTATACTACCCAAAGCAATCTACAGATTCAATGCAATCCCTATCAAATTGCCAATGGCATTTTTCACAGAACTAGAACAAAAAATCTTAAAATTTGTATGGAGACACAAAAGACCCCGAATAGCCAAAGCAATCTTGAAAAAAAAAAAAAAAATGGGGCTTCCCTGCTGGCGCAGTGGTTGAGAATCTGCCTGCTAATATGGGGGACACGGGTCGAGCCCTGGTCTGGGAGGATCCCACATGCTGCGGAGCAACTGGGCCCGTGAGCCACAACTACTGAGCCTGCACATCTGGAGCCTGTGCTCCGCAACAAGAGAGGCCGTGATAGTGAGAGCACCGCAATGAAGAGTGGCCTCCGCTTGCCACAACTAGAGAAAGCCCTCACACAGAAACAAAGACCCAACACAGCAAAAATTAATTAATTAATTAATAAACTCCTACACCCAACATCTTCTTAAAAAAAAAAAAATGGAGCTGGAAGAATCAGACTCCCTGACTTCAGACTATACTACAAAGCTACAGTAATCAAGACAGCATGGTAGTGGCACAAAAACAAACATAGATCAATGGAACAGGATAAAAAGCCCAGAGATAAACCCACACACCTATGGTCAACTACTCTATGACAGAGGAGGCAAGGATATACAATGGAGAAAAGACAGTGTCTTCAATAATTGGGGCTGGGAAAACTGGACAGCTACTTGTAAAAGAATGAAATTAGAACACTCCCTAACACGATACACAAAAATAAACTCAAAATGGATTAAACACCTAAATGTAAGGCCAGACACTGTCAAACTCTTAGAGGAAAACATAGGCAGAACACTCTATGACATAAATTACAGCAAGATCCTTTTTGACCCACCTCCTAGAGAAATGGAAATAAAAACAAAAATAAACAAATGGGACCTAATGAAATTGAAAAGCTCTTGCACAACAAAGGAAAACATAAACAAGACAAAAAGACAACCCTCAGAAAGGGAGAAAATATTTGGAAATGAAGCAACTGACAAAGGATTAATCTCCAAATTATACAAGCAAGCAGTTCCTGCAGCTCAATATCAAAAAAACAAACAACCCAATCGAAAATGGGCAGAAGGCCTAAATAAACATTTCTCCAAAGAAGATATACAGATTGCCAACAAACAAATGAAAGGATGCTCAACATCACTAATCACTAGAGAAACGCAAATCAAAACTACAATGAGGGATCACCTCACACCTGTCAGAGTGGCCATCATCAAAAAATCTACAAGCAATAAATACTGGAGAGGGTATGGAGAAAAGAGAACCCTCTCGCACTGTTGGTGGGAATGTAAATTGATACAGTCACTATGGAGAACAGTATGGAGGTTCCTTAAAAAACTAAAAATAGAATTAGCATATGACCCAGAAATCCCACTACTGGGCATATACCCAGAGAAAGCCTTAATTCAAAAAGACACATGTGGACTTCCCTGGTGGCACAGTGGTTTAGAATCCACCTGACAATGCAGGGGACACAGGTTCGAGCCCTGGTCCTGGATGATCCCACATGCTGCGGAGCAACTAAGCCTGTGTGCCACAACTACTGAGCCTGCACTCTAGAGCCCACAAGCCTCAACTACTGAAGCCCGTGCACCTAGAGCCCGTGCTTTGCAACAAGAGAAGTCACCGCATTAAGAAGCCCACATGCAGCAACGAAGAGTAGCCCCTACTTGCCACAGCTAGAGAAAGCCTATGTGCAGCAACAAAGACCCAACACAGCCAAAAATAAATAAATAAATTTTATTTTAAAAAAAGACACATGCACCTTGATATTCATTGCAGCACTATTTACGATAGCCAGGTCATGGAAGCAACGTCAATGCCCATCAGCAGACAAATGGATAAAGAAGAAGTGGTACATATATACAATGGAATATTACTCAGCCTACAAAAAGGAATGAAATTGGGTCATTCGCAGAGACGTGGATGGACCTAGAGACTGTCATACAGAGTGAAGTAAGTCAGAAAGAGAAAAACAAATATCATATATTTAACACACATATGTGGAATCTAGAAAAAATGATACAGATGAACTGGTTTGCAAGGCAGAAGTAGAGACACAGACATAGAGAACAAACGTATGGACACCATGGGGAAAACGGGGGGTGGAAAGAATTGGGAGATTGGGATTGACATATATACACTAATAGGTAGGAAATAGATAACTAATGAGAACCTGCTCTATAGCACGGGGAACTCTACTTCAATTCACTGAAACTAACACAACATTGTAAAACAACTCTACTCCAATTAAAAACAAAATGCGGATGTGGTAGAAGGTTGTGGAGAGGAGGCAATGAGGCTATCAGGAAGTAAATTAACTAAATAAACCTCGAAAACATATCTGCAAGTATTACCGTTTGAAAATTCATCTGGACCTCTTCCAAGGCTCATTCTTTGCTCTGAATTTAAAAAGAAACACACATATTTGATTAGAAACTGCTGTGACATAGAGGAGTCTGTCCATTTAAGACTACATTTTGTTGATCCACAGCTCTCAGGTTATTTATACCTCTGCTTAGTTCTTCATAATCGTTGATTTTCTTCAGCAAGCTCTTGTTGATTTGCTCACAGATTCTTTTCAGGGTGTCCAAGTTTCTTTCCCCTAGGATGACCCTCTTCTCCATCTCTATGAAAATATCAAGCAAGGTCTAGAGGGAGGAGAAATCAAGTTGGAAGACTAGATGGAGACATATTGGCTTTTAGATTAACATTTTTTTTGCTTCCACTCTCTCCAAACTAAGCACCCACCCTAGCTTCCCAAGCCAACCCTCCTGAGAGGACATCCTGGTCTTATAAAGCCAATCAGTAGATTATTAGGGAGGCAATTCATGATTTCTGGCCCAGAAAGATAGAAATAAGAAGACACAGGAGAAGTCACATCAGATGTCACCTAGTCCCCAGGCCCAGGCCCTGTGCTGAGACTGCCTGTGGACACCTTTATGTGAAGACAGTGAAGCAGCCCGAGTGCATGGCTGAGATGTGACAGCCTGGTCCCTATGGCAACAGCCCTGGGGACTGCCTCACACCCTCCATTGCCTCTGCCACCTGATCATCTCCAGGCTGAGTGTCCCCATAACACACACACACACAGACAAGCACACACACATACAACATTACATCACAACACACACACACACACACACACACACAGAGTTCCAGGTCCCAGGTTGTTTCAGAGACTGCAGAAGTGGGGAAACGATCTCAGGCCCACCACCGTCTCTCCTGGCTCTGCAAGGTCTCCACATTGCCTGTGCCTCCACACCAGCCTTCTCCCCTTGCTCCTCACTCTGCCTTGTTCCTGGTAATTAATGTAAGCAGCACTTCACAGTATACAGAGGCATCATATCTACAGCACTCATGCCTGACAGCATTCTTCTTCTCCCCAGTTAAAAAGTGAGAATTCATGTTGCTTTTACTGACAAGTGCTCTCTTTAGTCTCAGAAATCCCCACTGGCTGACTCACCCTCAGGACTAAACCTCGGTCAGACACCAGGTCTTACCATGTCATCATCCAGCTTATATTTGGCGATCTCCTGGCTCAAAAAAAACTTGAAGTCCTTCAATTCCAGTTTGGTCACATCTTCTGAAATCTGAAAAAGCATGACCCTGAAGTGGGAAACAGAAACACTTTAGAAATATTTTCTTAAATGATTTCCCAACCGATTTCCCATCCGGGTCACAGTGGACTTGATTCCTATGGCCTCCCTTGAAAATAAAGCCAGATAATGACATGATTTATGAGTTGAGTCCTTGGAAAGAGGCTGGTGTAGTGACACTGAAGACAAATGGCTCATGCCCAACTATCCCACTCTTAACAGAATTTAAAGTTCTCCAACTTTGACTTTCAGTTAATTTCAGTTAAATGAATTGTGTTTTTCCTTTGTCCTTCGCTATAAAATCAAGATATTGTTGCAATAGAAAAAAAGCTTTGATTTTGGATATCATGCTTTTCAAAATGCAAATCAGATGGAATTCCTCAATTAAAACTAGTCAATGTTCTCCCAGCCGCTACCTTCAGTAGGAAGGCCAAACACCTCCTTCTGGAGCACAGGCTTTTGTGAACTGAGCCCAGCCTGTCTCCTCATCTCTGGATGCTCCTTACTGCTGTCCCCCCATCTCCTCTCCAAACACACCCAGGTGCACTGCCCCTCACCCTGTTATGCTGGGCCTCCTCCCACCCCTATCCCCTTGTCCGTCTGCAGACAACCACTCATCCCCTAACAGCTCAAGCACTGCCTGACTGTCCTCAAGGCTGTATTCACCCCGCTGTACCTGCCTGTGCATCGCCAGAAGAGTAACACACATAACTGTCTGTTTATGAAGCTGTCCAAGTTCCCTGAGAATGGGATCAGTGCCCTTTTGGTTTCAATAAGCCTAGAGGGTCACGAGATACAGTGTTTAAGTGCAGGGGACCCAGACTCCTGGTGTTGGAACCTTGGATCCACCATCCATGAGCTGTGTGGCTTTAGACATGTTACACAATTTTTCCCCCTCATCTGTAGATTGTAGATAATACTCTATTTACCCCTCTGGGAGGTGTTGAGGATTACATGAATAAGTTTACCTGAAGCACTTAAACCAACCTTTGGCAACACACTAAGTGTTCAAACATGACAGGCATTATTATTTCCTAAATTATGATAGGCTCTTGGGATATGCTTGTTGAATGAACAAAGGAAAGTTTTATAAGTCGGCAAACCTTTTACTATGATGGTGCAAAGGAAAATAACTTTAATACAAAAACATGTTAACTTCAAAAGTAAATTAGAAAATTAAAATTCTAAAAATAAAAACATGGTTGACCCTTGAGCAACACAGGTTTGAAGTGCGCAGGTCCACTTATGTACAGATTTTTTTCAATAAATACGTAATACAGGGCTTCCCTGGTGACGCAGTGGTTGAGAGTCCACCTGCCGATGCAGGGGACACGGGTTCGTGCCCCAATCTGGGAAGATCCCACATGCTGTGGAGCGGCTGGGTCCGTGAGCCATGGCCACTGAGCCTGTGCGTCCGGAGCCTGTGCTCCACAACGGGAGAGGCCACAACAGTAAGAGGCCCACGTACCACAAAAATAAATAAATACATAAATACATAATACAGTACTACACAGTCTGTGGTTGGTCGAACCCACAAATGTGGAACCTAAGATATGGAGGATCGACTGTAAGTTATAAGTGGATTTTTGTGCAGAGGGTCCACATCCCTAACCCCCATGTTGTTCAATGATCAACTGTAGTGTAGAAACAGAAGTTACTCAGTATTATCACCTGCTTCATCCTTCTTCTCATGGAATCTCTACCGAAGTATTTCTCTAAAACTGTCTCAGTTTGACCAAGATTGGGTCCAATCAAAAGCTACCTCCCCTTTTAACTTTATCACAAGGTATTTTGCCCTTCTACGTTCCTCATTAATGAAACCTACTGGCTTTCTTGTACCATTGTTGTCCAGAAATAAATCTGGATAGTTTATAAGGTACTAATTTTATAGGTAGCAATGATAATTTGAAATTTTAAATATCTTATAAATGGAAAGTGGCCACACTAGCATTTTTTTTTTCTTACTTGATATTCAACAATGATGAACAAGCAGGAGATTTTACTTGTGCTGACCCTTTTGTTCCCAAGCTAACATGTTGAAGATTTTAACAGACAGATCCTGCCCTTGTTACACACTCGTAACCCTCCAACAGAGAGGCCCATGTCATTGTCTGCACTGGAAGTTGCCTTGGTTTTGCTCACATGGCAGGAGTGCAACCTTCAAAAGACCAAGACAGGGGACACAAGATGAGGCCCTCTAGCTTTCCTAATTATGGGGCTGTTGTTTTTATGATTAATTGATGCCTTAATGAAAAAAATTCAGTACAAGGACTTCACAATTCTATTGAACCAAAGTTACCCAGTATTGAATAGTATCCTTCCCCACTCTCCTTCCAAATTCACATCCACTTGGAACGTGTAAAAGTGACTTTACTTGGGAAAAGGGTCTTTGTCGATGTAATCTTGCCAAGATAAGATCATACTAGATTAGGGTGGCCCTAATCCGATGGTTGGTGTCTTTAAAAGTAGAGGGAAATTAAGACACAGATACACAGCGGAGAAGACAAGGTGAAGAAAGAGGCAGAGATTGAAGTGATGCATCCGTAAGACAAGGAACACCAAGGACTGCCTGCAACTACCTGAAGCTAGGAGAGGATCATGAAACAGATTCTCCCTCAGAGCCTCTAAAAAGGAATCAATCCTGTTGACACCTCAATTTTAGCCTCTAGCCTCCAGAACTATAAGGAATTAACTTCTCTACTGTGTTAAGCCTTTGGCAGGACAGACAGCCCAAGCCACTGCTGTTCTGACAGCATCTGGGGTCACAGGGATTAAGCAGTCATTGGGCGTTACAGGATGGCTTATGAAGTAAAACTGTGGAAGCTGTTTAACCTTACAATATCGGTTATTACAATGGGGGTTTCCAGATGGCCAGGCATAGATTTAAAATGGTTATCTTATACCCTAAACAAAAAAGCACTCATTGCAGGGGTCTGGCCTGGCCAATCCAGAATGACTGGCAACACACAGCTCACTTAAGAACTTGGTAACACAAGTCTTAAGGTATGGAATAAAAGCCTAAAACCCTACTGAGAATTTCATAGTCATCCAGAAGTAGGTGGGAGGGGGTCTCAGCTGGGAAGTAGCAATGCTTTATTCAATAATCGGCAAAGAAGTGCATGGTATGGGCATCAGCAAAGCAGAGGCATCAAGATAACGGATATGTAACAGAGAGAGAGTCAGAACGTTTAAAAAGTGTCTATTTGGATTTTGGCATACCTATAGGTAATGTTTCACCTTGGAAAGAAAATTTTATTTTATGGTTTTAGTATATTTTTCTCTGAATTCTACATAAAGTCTCTAAATTTCTTAATCTGACTGTGGTGGGACATCTTCCCAAAGGCTCCAAAGTCACACCATACAGACAACCTACAAACAGCATCAGCCCTGCCCATAAAGATGTGCCCATTCAACCCACACATCCCAGTTCCACACCATGGAGGTTTTCCCCACCTATAGGCAGAGATCTGGGCCCTGCCCGGCATCTGAAGCTCCCTCTCCATCTCCTCCCCACTGGTGTCCAGGTAGGTGAGCAGCAGATCCAGTCTATTCATTCGGAAAAGCAGCTCCTTCAAGAAGGACAGGTTGCTTTCCTCCAACATTCTCTTTTCTTGGAGCCTCTGGAATAGCACCAAGGCATCCTTGATGGGTTCCTGCTTCCTATGTGGAATGTAGTCCAGGCTCAGGAACTTGAGGGCAGCCAGGTCTTCACTGTTCAGCTGTTCCCCAATATTATACAGACATCTGTTGAAATTCATGCTGATCAAGCGTTAGGAGAATATAGTTGTTACCTAGGTTAAAATACAATGTTATGTTCAGATGAGGAAGAAAACTACCACTTACTGATTTGTTCCTTCATCAAATGCTATTACATCTACTATATGCCAGGCATTATGCTGTGGATACAGGCAAGAAAGCGAACAAACAGGTTCCCACTCTCAAGTAGCTTACTGTTTTGGAAGGTAGATTTACAAACTAGCCAGTGGTCAGAGAGTTGTGACCAGGGCACAGTAGAAATATAGAGGAAAGAGCCTTAACTCAGCCTGGGAGAAGGGCTTCCTGGAGGGAATTCACCTTTGGGGAGGAGATGGTGAAGGACAATTTTTGAAGGAAATAATTTATGCAAAAGTTGGAGGCAAGAACGTTCAAGTCAGTTCAGGCAGGCAAAGGGAGCTCAATAAAGTAACCACGAAGGGTCTGGAAGAGGGAGTCGTGAGACAAAGGGATGGAGCTGTGGCCGGTAACTGTTATAAAGGGCCTCATACGATGGGTCAAGGGGGTCAGGCTCTCTCCTGGATATAATGGGAAACCAAGAAAGGATTGTAAACATGAGCGTGACGTCATCCAGTTAGGGATTAACATTTAAAGTGTGGGGGACATATGTAGATGTATAACTGAATCACTTTGCTTCACACCAGAAACTACTCCAATATAAAATAAAAATTAAATTAAAATAAAATAAAGTGTGGAGGACAGATTGGAAGGGTTGGAGGTGGGAGAAGTCATGTGGTCTAATGGAAACAATGGTGGCAGGAGGACACGATGCAGTGCTCTCCCCCAAGGGCCTCAGGACAGGCACCCACAGCTGGACAAGAACCCAAGACTGGAAACGGAACCAAGAGAAACCCCAGACCTGGGGCTTCTTGTATGAAGGTTGTCTGGGGTTTCCTGAAACACTGCCCTCTCTTTTTTTTTTTTTTTTTTTTTTTTTTTTGCGGTACACGGGCCTCTCACTGTTGTGGCCTTTCCCATTGCGGAGCACAGGCTCCGGACGCGCAGGCTCAGCAACCATGGCTCACGGGCCCAGCCGCTCCGCGGCATGTGGGATCCTCCTGGACCGGGGCACGAGCCCGTGTCCCCTGCACCGGCAGGTGGACTCTCAACCACTGCGCCACCAGGGAAGCCCCAAGGCTCCTAAATTTTTAAGCTCCCTGCATTCACTGACATTCTCGGATGAAACCACAAATCCTGACTATCACTTGAGGGGTGATGGCGTGAACCAGGACCTGTGTATTTTGTACCTCTGATGTTAAAATAGAAACATTAAGGTAAACTTTAATATTTTTAAAAAGTGGCCCAAAAGACTTTGAAGCTTTTAGTTTTTCTTTTTAAAAACACCTTTTCTGGGACTTCCCTGGTGACTCAGAAGTTAAGAATCTGCCTGCCAACACAGGGGACACGGGTTCGAGCCCTGGTCCAGGAAGATATCACATGCTGCAGAGCAACTAAGCCCATGCGCCACAACTACTGAGCCTGCACTCTAGAGCCCATGAGCCACAACTACTGAGCCCTCGTGCCACAACTACTGAAGCCCGTGCGCCTAGAGCCCGTGCTCTGTAACAAGAGAAGCCACCACAATGAGAAGCCCTCGCACCGCAACAAAGAGTAGCCTTCACTCGCTGCAACTAGAGAAAGCCCATGCGCAGCAATGAAGACCCAATGCAGCCAAAAATAAAAATAAATAATTAATTAATTAAAATAAAGTAAAACAGTATTTTTAAAAAAAAACAATCCTGATTACTTCCCCCCAATCCTGATTACAGAACACTGGGGTGGTTTTTTTTTTCGGTAAAAATTGAAAATGCAATAAATTATAACATGGTCATGGTTATCATTATCATACATCACATACACACAAATACACATTTATATAAAAATTAGAATCAGGTTGCACATCCAAGCGTGTACATCTGTATTTTTTTTTATACCCACTGAATATTTAGAATGAACATTTACCCTTACCATAAATATTCTTCTTTGGCATATTTTTAATATTTCTTGATTTCCAGCATGTGGAGATATCAAAATTTATTTTAAGCAATTTTCTGTTCCTTTACTATTAAAAATAATATTTCACTGAGAGTTTTTTTCATATATCCTGTGCATACCTCTGATTATTTCCTTCTTAGAATTGGAATTATGGGCAAAACTTTTTTTCTCCCTTTTAATCTAGAGCTGACATTATTGTTTAGACAAGTTTTCTTGATTAGGAAACTGGAGGGACAGTGTCTTAGAAAGATACATCTTGTTTTACACTGGATTCACAAAGGCTGCAGAGCCTAGATTATTCACTGCAAAAGCAATCAATTATCATGAAAATACTTTTATATAGGAAAGATACCTTAAACATTTGGGCTGCACCTAAAAGCATACGTTCAAAGTTTAACAAACAAAACCTCTAGACATTCAAGGGAACAAACTAGCAAGTTCATTCCTTAAATCACACTCCATAGACACACACGTGCTCAACAGGGTTTGTACATGGAGTCTCACCACAGCCCGATATATAACCCTGAACAACCAGAAACATCCCAAATGTCCTCCAATAAAGGAATGGCTAAATTAACTAAAGCATAGTCATCCTACAGAATATTATGCAGCAGTTAAGAAAGTGCACTCCAACTTCTGAAATTAAAATGGATATTCAAGATATGTTATTATGACAGTGAAAATAGCAAGTTGCAATATAACCAAAATCATACATCTACTTTTTAGAAATACTCAAACAGCATAATTAGATTTTAAGTGATTACAGACATATATATTAAAGCAGAAAATAAAAGATAAGGAAATTCTGGAAAGAGACATACCAAACTCATAAAGTGCCTAGATTTTGTATTCACAGATCTTTGAAGAAAATACACAGGAAGCTGCTTCAGTGGTTGCCTGAGAGGAGAGGAGCTAGAAGTCTGGGGGTGGACAGGAAGAGACTTGCTTTACATTCTATACTCTTTGCACTGTGTAAATCTTTACCATTTTATTACCCTAAATATACATGTACTTAAATTAAAATCTCTATTTAAATAACTATTTTTATTCCAGTATATGAAACTGGAAAGGATCAGAACTGGGTCCAGCCCTGTTTAAAACCATTAGGTCCAAGTGTCCTTAAATCTTCCAGTAAGTTCTAACCATTGCTAAAATATCATTTTACAGAATAAAATCAACCAAAGAATCAAATGAAAGCAGAATCTCCTTTTTTTCCCCTCTGCAATTATTTTCTTTCTAATGATAACAATGCTTATTGTATTCCTTTTAGAAAATACAGGAAAGATAAAAAGGAGAATAAAAATTACCTATAATTCTATCATCCAAAGATTAAATGCCTAATCAAAACATTCTCTGATGTAAATCGTACCAATATTTTCTTAGGTCAGTCTCCCAAGGCAATAGAAATAAAAACAAAAATTAACAAATGGGACCTAATCAAACTTACAAGCTTTTGCACAACAAAGGAAACCAAAAACGAAATGAAAAGACAACCTACAGAATGGGAGAAAATATTTGCAAATGATGCAACTGACAAGGGCTTAATTTGCAAAATATATAAACAGCTCATAAAATCAACAACAAAAAACAAACAACCAAATCAAAAAATAGGCAGAAGACCCAAAGAGACGTTTCTCCAAAGAAGAAAGACAAATGGCCAATAGTCACATTTGAAAAGATGCTCAACATCGTTAATTATTAGAGAGATGCAAATAAAAACTACAGTGAAGTATCACCTCACACTGATCAGAATGGCCATCATTAAAAACTCTACAAATAACAAATGCTGGAAAGAGTGTGAAGAAAAGGGCACCCTCCTACACTGTTGGTGGAAATGTAAGTTGGTAAAGTCACTATGGAAAACAGTATGGAAGCTCCTCAGAAAACTAAAAATAGAATTACCATATGATCCAGCAATCCCACTCCTGGACATATATCTAGACAAAACTCTAATCCAAAGAGATACATGCACCCCTATGTTCATAGCAGCACTATTCACAATAGCCAAGACATGGAAGCAACCTAAATAGCCATTGACAGAGAAATGGATAAAGAAGATGTGGTACATATATACAATGAAATATTACTCAGCTATAAAAAAGAATGAAATAATGCCATTTGCAGCAACATGGATGCAACTAGAGATTATCATACTAAGTGAAGTAAGTCAGAAAGAGAATGACAAATACCATATGATATCACTTATATGTGGAATCTAAAATATGACATAAATGAATCTATCTGAAACAGAAACAGACCTGTGGTTGCCAAGGGGGAGGGGGTTGGGGCAGAGATGTAGTCAGAGGTTGGGTTAACAGATGTAAGTGTTTATGTATAGCATGGAGACCTATATTCAATATCCTATGACAAACCATAATGGAAGAGAATATTAAAAAAAGAATGTATATATATGTATTACTGAATCACTTTGTTGTATAGCAGAAATTAACACAACATTGTAAATCAACTATACTTCAACTTTTAAAAAATTAAAGTAAAATAAAAAACAAAGATAAATGCCTAATAATCTTACTGTCCTTCCTACCGAATATTTTACACATATATATTTTCCCTCATATTTAAACACCATATTTCTGAGGTATACGTGGACTTTTCCACTGATAATATTATAAGTACGTCTTGATGTCTTTATTTTTTCTTCTACAGCATGGATTTTTAAATCTGTAAGGCATCTAATCATATGAATGGGCAAGAATTTATCTAACCAGTCTCTGATTACATTTAGGATGATCTTAAAATGCAAATCTCCACGTATACCTCCAATTATTTTATTAGAATAATTTCCTAGAGATAGGATTACTGAGACAAAAGGAATAAAGATTTTTAAGGCTTTTGTTACATATTCAATAGCATTTTCTGACAGTATACAAAAAATTCCAATCCAAGGCCAGGATGACGTGAATTTGGATATAACATGATGGGCTCCTGTCCTCTATGGCCAGTTCACCTCACTCGTTTCATTATCTTTGCAATAGCCTGACAATGCTTTCTAAATTATTTTTGCATCATATTAAAATGGACACTTAGTAGGGAAAGTGCTGGCAAGGCTTCTTTTCTGACCCAGCTTTTTCCAGAACACGTTGTGGGTATAATATTGTCTTTGTTTGTTTAGGTCACACATCTCTTTGATCGTAGTGCCTGGGAAGCACTGTTACCTGCTCTAGATTTTATACCGTTAACAACAGGCCACCTCTAGGTTCTGGCTCTATAGGAACAGGGACCAAGAGGCACTTCTTTTTTTATGGGCCCTGGGTTTAACTGCATGTGCTCATGAGCTAGAAACTTTGTTAGAGTAATATTCTAAGGAGAATATTCATTGTTGTATTTTTCTCATCCTAAAATAGTAAAAGTAACATTTATTCCTTAGAGAACTTTTAAAAGAAAAATAAAAATCACTTAGAAAAACTTAGAAGTAATTTTAGGGTCAAATTTAGTGGGTTTTTTCCTATTTTATTCACATGTTCACATATATATACATATATAATGTGTGTGCATATACATATGCTGAATATATAAATTTGAAGATAAATTTGAATATATTGGTTTATATTGCATACAAGGTGGAAGAGAGGGGTGGAAATGGAAAGCCCTCCAGAATTTTTCTTTTATTTCCAATTATATAACAATAATAAATCAATATAAATATATTTGTATTATATGATATATAAGTATATCTAATATTTTTATAATAAATGTGTGCCCCAAAGTATTTTGATATAAATTTTTATATTATGATGTGTGTTTATAACATACAACCATATAAACATAAAAATATTTTTCTTGTCTCACTTACTGCAATCCTCTGAAGAAATTGCTATTATCATCCTCATTTTACTATTGTGAAAAATCAGTTCAGAAATAAGCTATTGAGAGGCGTCAGGCCCGGGTTTGAGCATCTCACTCAAGGGTCTCAATGACAGACCCTGCAAGGATTTAGAATTTATTCTGATTCCAGTTGGAAGCCAGTGAAGGAATTTAATGAAGAAAGACACATAATCAAAATATTTTTAAAGATTATGAATTACTTAAAATTTTAAAAGACTAAAGAAGCCCCCAAAACACAGAAACAAGAGTTCTTAACAAATCTACAAAAGCAAAGCGAGGGTCAGAACCTTACAGACCAAGCCGGTACATGCTGGAGCCCGGATTTAGACCTCAGCACCTCATCCCAGAGTCCCAAATAAGCACTGCCTTTTGCGCCACAATTAAATTGCAAATAAATCTCATCTAATCACAAACAATCCTTCTAGCGACATTCTAGCAACCTCTTAGCTCTTTTGGTGATATGGAAAACTGCCTCAAAGCTGGAGAAAATAAACCCAAAATTTGCATTACTCTTCTGAGACAAAAATCCGTTACCTCGTTCAAAGCTTGAGAGTACTGGAAAGCCGCTCTCAGGCCCAAACCCCTAAGCAATAGGGTGACTACTCCCTCCAGTCCAGGATGACCACCCCCAACTGGGGTTCCCCCAGAACCTGCCAGATGTCCACCCTGCACACAAATACCCTCCGCTGCAGGGTCCCAGCCAGGGCTATCACACAGCCCAGGAAAGGTGTTCAAATCACGACAAAACTCAGAGCCAACCAAACTGAAGAAATTTATAACTCCGCCTATAAACGCTTAACCCCACAAGTACTGATTATCAGTTGAAGCTTGCCATTGTATTATTCCCGGTACTGTCCTGTGCCCTTTTAATGTCTCAAAAATAAATCAATAATTGAGTCCTTAGCACTATTTCTGTTTATGCGTGTGTCTGTTTATGTGTACCTGTGTGTTTATACTGGTGGTCTGAGTGCCGGCAGATTGGTAAACTATAGCAGCAAAGACAGTTGAGAGTTGAGTTTTGGTTTCTATTCTTTGACAACTCGGCATAAGGATGAGGCATCTGTACAGATAACTGAACTTGGAGTATTCCCCCGTAAGATCAGGAATGCATCAACCGAAGCTGGAGGGACCCGTGGGCCCTCACTACAGCCCTGGGAAGCACTGCTAACTCTCCTGGTTTCCGCATCTACACTCATATACAAGGATCACCCCATGAGCCCCGAGGCCACCAGATCCCACCCTCAGTAGCCTAGAAAATTCTAGAATCAAAAACCTTCCTCTCTAAAAGCCCATCCAACCTTACCAGAGGCAAGTCCCAGAACCCTCACAGCGGCAGCCGCTTCAAAGGCCTCTCTCTCCTGGCACATCTAAGAAAAGAATGAAGTCAAATGAAGAACCTACAGCACAGCTCACTTACTTCCTGTTTTCGAAACTCCTGAGTCACTAGTGAGGTAGGCCGGCCTCCAGGCAGCACCCCCGTCTAGATCGCTAAGAGGGAGCCTGTGGAAGAGGAGGCAGGTGCCGGCAGGGGACCCTGGCCACCTGAGCTTTGGCTCGGGCTGTGTGACTTTGGACGGGTCAGTTTCTCTTCGGGGCCTCCTTACCACACTCCAACAGGAGACAGTTTGAACTGGATGATAGCTAAGAACCCTTTCTTTTCATATTGCAGGAATTTACAGATTTTTAGGGGCTCATTATGAAGACTTTAATGGTTTCATTCAGTAATATTCACTGAGCACTCCTGAGTGGTCTTGGGATCTGTAAACTGCAGGGCCCTCACCACAGCTCTCAGAGGGTCTGCTGACCCTCACAGAAACTCTCTTGGTTTCCCCATCTACACTCACATACACGATCACTTCCATGACCCCGAGGCCACAAGAGCCCACCCTCAGCAGCCCAGAAAACACTAGAATCATAGTCCTTCCTCCCAAAAGGCCCAGTCGAGCTCACCAAAAAGACAAATCCTGGGGCCCTCACCATGGACTGGCCCTGGAAAACAAAGCACACATTAGCCCTGTCTTTTGGCTCTCAGTCAGTTGAAATGTTTTCTGGTGATAAAACTAGAGAGAGAGAGAGAAAAAAAAAAATCAAACACCTCTCTTCTTTGAAACTGCCTTTTTTCTTTCCCCAAATGGAATATTAGCTTTCAGAGGGCTGAGCTCACGGCTGAGAGGATTAATGAGATGTCTGAAAGTGCCCCTCCACCTGCAGAGGGCTAGGGAAGGGTGCCGTGGTCCCATTGTGCCCTTTGCTACCTCGACTCTGCCCCGAGAACTCTTGAGTGAGAGCACAGTAACAGAATGAAATCCTGTTAATGGCTAAATCCTAGCCCAGGATGTGCTCCCTGACTCTTTCTTGCGGCCTCCTGAGCATACACTCAGCTTTCATCCCACTGTTTTATGGCTGGTTCCTGTCCGAGGCTGTGAGCTTCACAAAGGCAGAGACCGAATATTTCATGCCCGTTCCCAGGATGTGCCACAGGAGTAGCAATATCTAGAACATACAAAGGTTTCCTGCAAATCAATGAGGAAAAGAAACCCTGGAGAATGACAATGGATATGGACACAGGGCTCCTTGACAGGGATACTCAGATGGCCGAAGTGTACGAATGACGCTCAGACTCATGAGTAAGCTGGGAAGTGCCAAAATAAAGCAACGAGCTCCCTACTTTGTACCTATTAGAATAGCAAAGGTTTGCAAGCTGGATCAGGCTAAAGATTGGTGGGCAAGTTCTCCTATAGTCCTTATATAGGATTGGGAGGCTGTCCATCATGGAATAATAAGTAGTGGTTACAAAGTGGGACCTGGCAAATTACACAGAACTTAAAATACAGTGCTTACTTGAAAAACAAAAAAAGTCAGAAACGGAACAAACAAAATACAATACAAATAATACTAATACGTAATAATAATTGCTAACACTTACTGGGTACTTAGTAGTGCCAGTCACTGTTCTAAGTGGCTCATGCTGTTATTATCAACTTAAATCTTCACAGCCACCTCATGAGGGAGTGTTAATCCCATTTAATGATGAGGAAACAGAGGTACAGAGAAATTACTTTCTTGTTCCTGATCACACAGTTTAAAAAGTAGCGTACACACACAAAACAAGGACACATTTTGCAAAGATACAGAACAATTCAAGGATATGTATCAAAAGATTTAGAGGGTCGTCTTTGGGAGGGTAGGAGATAGGGTGGGAGTGGGGAAATCAAAGAAAGTACCTAGAACAGGGCAGGGGAGAGGGGCCCGTAAGCCTTAGAGACCAAGGGCTACAGGGAATAGGGATCTGACAGGGTGATAAACTTAACCCTCTGCCCTAGGCCAAACGGAAAATAATTTAAACATAAGTAGGTAAATAAAGTCTTGTAGAATTTCCAAAGTAATCCAGCAGGTGAGAGACAGTGTGTCTATATTTGAAGCAGCAGAGGAACTGGAGATTCCTCAGAGTTAAAAAGTAGCAAAGTCAGTGGTTGTGGTTCGGAGAGAAACCCAGTCCAAGATCTGGGCCCCTAGCAGGACCCAGAGGTGACTCCACTCCGCAGGTCTGATCTGCTCCTTGAGTGGGCAACGTGGTATCCAGAAGCCACTTCTGCACCAGACACTCACCTGTTCCACCCTGGCAACATCACAGTCACCAAGCTCCCGATGCCAAGACCCCTAGACTGCCTAACTTCACACGTTCCGATTACTGAGGCGGGCTCTTACAACCGGAGAAAAATCCCTTGTAACGAGGCAAGGGGGAGGGGGAGGAAGGAGGTGGGGTTGGAAAGGCCTCCCGGAAGAAGTTTTCTTTTACTTTCGATCACTCAACCAGGCTTTTCTGCCTGTCCCAGCAGACTCACTTCCTGTTTCTCTCCTCTCCACATTCAGAATTTACTAGCAAATTCAGCAGGGCTTTGAAACATCGGGAGATAAAAGAAAGAGAACTTGTGAAACCATTGCCCTCCGGCAGAAGGGCAAAATCTGGTCTTCAGTAAGAGAGAAAGAAAATTCCTGAACAGAGAGAACTAGAGAATAAAATTGACTTTGAAAACTGGAAAACAGAGGTGATTCACTCGCACAGAAAATGTTTCTTATTTAAAGGAACCGATGCAAACTAAAAGCCAGGAAGCTGTGTGCTCACTACATTTAGTGTATGTAAGGCCTGTAAGTTTTACAGACAGATTTGATACTGTCTGTGGCAAGGAAAAATGCCATTCTTCCTTGAAAGGGGTCTGGGGAGAGGAATTATGCCTCTATTCTGTGGCCCAAATCTCAGCGCTGAAGCCATGGACCAGCCCCCCATATCATCTGGCAAGAGCTCTTCTTGGGTCGAAGCAGATCTCTTGCTGAGATGTGGGGAGATCCTGCACAAAAAGGGGTGTGGGTCTGGCCCAGCCCTAAGCAAGGGTAACAGTCCCTGGCCAGTGCTGTGCCTTAGTGACCGGTACCTGTCCAGTGCAGAGCCTGGAGTGGTGGTAATGCGGAGATCTGTCCCCCAGGACCCTGAGCCCCCAAACCTCCCCATGGATGAGGAAACAGAGGCTCAAATGAATACCCAAATTCGAACTCAGTCCCGTTGGACCAAAAACAAGGATTTTCCCACCGTAACACACTATCTCCCCTTCCCCAGCATTTAGGATTTGAAATGAACCATGTGGGTGGAAGAGCAGTAAATTTAAACTAAGATAATGACCTGTGCACAGAGGTCACAAGGTCACCTATGAAAAGGGAGTCCGCCTAATGACACCAGCTAATATTTAATAAACATTGTGTGTGCAAGGCACAGCCACCCACGCTGGCTCATTTCACCTTCTGAACAATCCTCAGAAGTGGATGTTCCCATTTGAGTGACGAAACTGAGGTTTGGAGAGGCGAAAGGCTTGGACAAGCACCTTCAGCTAGTGAGTGGCAGAATGAGTTCTGTGTGCCTCTCTAAGACCCTGAGAGGCTAATCAGTGTCTGAACATTAATACACACCCATGGTTCTCAACTTGACTGATCGGAGGGTTAACTGAGGAGGTTTAAAACAAATACCAGTCTTCAGGCCCCAGCTTTGGAATTCCTACCTGAGCAGAATTACAGGAGGTAAACCAGACTGAGCACTTAAAGGAATGCCTGGACCTTTGACAGTTCTCAGTAAGTATTCACTACCACTGTGTTACATAAGCTCACGATATCTGTAAGATGGCTATGAATTATTAGTCACATGGTACAGATGAGGAAACTAAGTTCAGTGTCAATCAGCTGACAAACTGCACGGCCAACACAGGATCCCAAGATTGTCTCACTTGAGAGTTTACATCCATCCCCCAGCCCCCAGCCTGGCAGAAATGGATGACCCACAGCAGGCATCCAGGGGGCCATAGTGAGGAGGAATGGCGGAGTCTCAGGGCTTTGATGTGTCATTTGTAAGGTATTGATCCTAGGCTCTCCCAGTCTTAGATCTTTTTAAAAAGGAAGATGAATAATCAACAAGTGAATCGTGAACCTGAAGTTGGTTAAATTCCTTTTGTGATCTTCTAGGATCAATATTAATTTACTTGCTCTAACCAGTTTCTTGCCTCCTTCTTGAGCTATAAGTCTGCTTGATTATTTACATCGAAATGAATAATGTACCTGGTCTTTAGTCCTGGGGAAGCTGGAAAACCTGGAGGCGTTGCAGTTCAGCGGGACATAAGGGAGCTGGTCCCGGCCCAGCACAGGGTGAGGACAGCCTGTTTGGTTTTTTTTTTCGTTTTTTTGTGGTACGCGGGCCTCTCACTGCTGTGGCCTCTCCCGCTGCGGAGCACAGGCTCCGGATGCGCAGGCTCAGAGGCCATGGCTCACGGGCCCAGTCGCTCCGCGGCAATGTGGGATCTTCCCGGACCGGGGCACGAACCCGTGTCCCCTGCATCGGCAAGCGGACTCTCAACCACTGCGCCACCAGGGAAGCCCAGGACAGCCTGTTTGGACTTAAGTGCCGAGAGGTTTCCACCCTCCTGAATCTCAGCTCCCACCCGACGGCCTGCTCCGGAGGCTCACGTCTACTAATCTGCTGAAATCAGGTTTGGACTTGTGCATTTCCCTAAGAAAGCCAAGAATGACTAAACCTCCTTTCAGCTGGCTGGAACACACCAGTCCCATCGATCTGGACTTGAACCACAGGACATTAGTCAAGGACAAATCAAGGACAAATACTGACAGTGAAACAAAAATCCCCTGAACAAGCATGCTCTTTTGTTGGTTACTTTTCTATTAAGTTGTATACAACGGACCCACAGGCCGGGTGGTCTGGTACGTGCATTCTATTGGGCCCCTCCTCCCCCTTCCTCAAGCTGGCCTTGGCTTGGCCTTAGAATCCTGAAGGCAATGGTGAGGGAAAGGAGACTGCATTCCAATCCATCTATTTCATCTCGTCCCGGCCATGTGGGAAGAGACTCAGCCAATTCTCTAGAAGTTTTTAACAGCTAGGCTTTGAAGTCTTTGATCTTTGTTTTGGTATTGAGATGACTAGACAGTCATGAGCAGGTAGATGAAGAGTTTACATCACTGACCCGAAGTGTATATTCTGCAATTTGGTGGGTGCTGGAACCTGCCCCCTCTACTTCCACAAAAGATCCTACTGCAAACAAGAACCCATCCCACTGATCTAGAAAGGAAGAAATTGAGGTAACTGTTGGGCTGTGATGCGATATTCATGTCATCAGCTTAGCTTTTTAAATATTTTCTTGGAGGTCTGAGCACAGTCAAGGTGAAAGTCCTCCAAGTTCCAGCTACACTCTATGCCCACCCCCAGGAACCATTTCTTGGGAACAATTTCTCAGTACCTCAAACCCTAAGGACAAATGTCAAGAGCCATTAAATTTTTTTTATTATGATAAAATATACATGACATAAAATTTACCATTCTAACCATATTTAAGTGTACATTTCAGTGGCATTAAGTACATTCATATGTTGTGCTATCATTCCTATCATCCAAGAGCCACTGTTTTTTTTTTATTGAAGTATAGTTGGTTTACAATGTTGTGTTAGTTTCTGCTGTACAGCAAAGTGATTCAGTTATACATACACATATATTCTTTTTCATATTCTTTTCCATATGGTTTATCACAGGATATTGAATATAGTTCCCTGTGCTGTACAGTAGGACCTTGTTGTTTATTTTATATACAGTAGTTTGTAGCACGATGCAGTTTTAAAGTGTTCTCCCTACTTCACCTCATTTATCTCATTAGTGAGCACAATTTTTTAGTCTAAAGCAGGCAGAGCAGGTGTTACTAAGACATTTAGAACACCAAAGGCCAGAAAGGTGAAGTGACTGAGCTGGGACTACCCAGCTACTCTATCTGCATGCAGCACTAGTGACTCCTTCTTTTAAAAAAAATCAAAAGATGGGAGGATTATTCCCTGAAACACATATATTTTTTCCCTTTTAAAAGAAGTCACTCCTCGGGACTTCCCTGGTGGCATGGTAGTTAAGAATCCGCCTGCCAACGCAGGGAACACGGGTTTGAGCCCTGGTCTGGGAAGATCCCACATGCCGCGGAGCAACTAAGCCCGTGCGCCACAACTACTGAGCCTGTGCTCTAGAGCCCGCGAGCCACAACTACTGAGCCCACGTGCCACAACTAATGAAGCCCACGCACCTAGAGCCCATGCTCCGCAACAAGAGAAGCCACTGCAATGAGAAGCCCATGCACCACAAGGAAGAGTAGCCCCCGCTCGCCACAACTGGAGAAAGCCCGCGCACAGAAACGAAGACCCAACGCAGCCATAAATAAATAAATAAATAAATTTATTTTTTAAAAAAAGAAGAAGAAGAAGTCACTCCTCAACTTCTGCAAGGGAAATTCATTTCATTCTTTCTCAGTTCAAAAAGGATTCCAAGAATTGGGTAATGATTTTTTTCCTCAAAGCTATTAGTAAAAATAATTACAATACACCCGTTCTCAGTAGTAGCACAACTAACTTGCAAGTACAGGTAAGCCCAGGTGAGACGGCCAAGTGGCAAAATGTGTATTTGGTGTCTTCCCTGGATAGGACATTTTTTCTTCCCCCAGAAGTGTCCTCCCAGGCTCACTTGGATTCCTACTGACTCCAGCTTTCAACAGACCCTGAAACAAAATGATGTAGTAGGAGGGTTAGTACAGTTTCTTATTTATCTTTCTTGTGATAGTCTACACAAAAGGAAAAGCAAACATATCTCTGCATTGACTTTAATTTTTGCACTAATTATTTGTATATTTGTTTAAACATTGTGTGCATGTGTGTGTATTCTATCATTTTTTCATCTAACTCTATCTTGGTTTCTGAGAGAATGAGTCATCCCTCATCTGACACAACACGTTGTAGAGGCTCCGAATATGCTTAAAGATTATTTTGAGTTGGAGGCAAATGAGAATCAGCAGATACAGAAAGAAGCCTTTTGTAGCATCCCTTATCTGACTAAAAGTAGCAGATTCTGAGAAATGAAGACTGCCATGAATCCCTCTCCCAGGGAAGTTTTATGGCCATGAAGAAGAAAGTCTGAAAAAAGATGGACCTGCATGAACAAATGTAGTTTGCCCAATATATTTACCTTCCCAAAGTTTATCACTCTTGGAAGCCTAAACCCTTTATTACCTTTGTCTTGTCACTTCTCTGCATATTTATTGTTCGTTGCTCAGATGCTATATAAGCCCAAGTTCTAACCACCCTTCTGAGTTCCGAATCACTGAGGTTTCTCCCACTTGAT